TAGGTACTAATCAATGTGTATGGCAATGAAAAAATTACATTCTCCAAATAGCAATACAAATGAATGCAGGCTACCAACTGTTTTCACATACATTACCTTACTCGTCGTCACACCTAAGTGGGGTTAGTTTGGCAGGTATTATTCTACAGGCAACAGACTGTAAATCTGTTCACAATTACAATCAGGGGCAGAGTTGGTACTTGATTCCAGGGCTTTCGACCAGGCAAGAGCCCTTTAGATTTTACCAGGCTGCCTCGCAGTAAGATGGCAAACGACTAAGGTGCCTTTGTCCCTTGAGCAGACAGGAGTGTGATCCTTGGCTTAATCTCACCTAGAAATGAAGATGAAGCAGACTCTGCCACTAAAGCCTTCTTGCAAGGGGCTATAGCTCTTCTGTCCAGAGACCAGTCTTAAACGTTTAATTAAAGAGGTGAAAATTAATAGTAGCTAGCTGCTAAATGTTACTAAACATCGGAAGACCCTAACCTGCGTAAAAAGGATTTTAAAATGGACTAATTTGGCTTAGGATTCCCTTGGGAATACTTGCAGCTTCTTCATACTTCCTTCTCTATCACCTAAAAATTGACAGAGAGGAAAGAGGTAAGAAGCTTCCCCAAAGTCACATGGCTAATTAAGGCCACCACTGGCTAGAGTCCAAATTTTAACACAAAGTTTAGTATTCCTTCCACTACATACCCCCTCCCTTTTTTAACCGAATATTTATACTGTAACCTGGACAAATATTTTAAGGGTAAGAAAAAAAGATTAAGTGTGCCTATAGTATTTTTTTCATGATTATTGTAATTTCATCATAACACTTAGTGGTTCTGTTTTCTTTGGGATAGAATTTTAGCCAACCAGGATAATTTCTCCTATTATGTATGTTATCACTCAGACAAGATAATTTGCCAGAAAAGGGTATTTTATGGAATTTACAGAACTCTCAGAAATGGAAAATTCTTTCTCAACTGCCATGCAAAGAGGGCTTCTCTCTCATGAAGACAGAAAGCACATGCAGCTCTGAGGGCCACAGAAGGGCCAGGCCCTGGAGAAAAGCAGGACACAGAGAATGGGGACGGTGACAAACGATGATATGCCCGGAAAGTAGTGGACTGACCCACAACGACGTACAGATCACAACTTTATTTGTCCACACCAGAATGAAGTCACTTAACAGAGAGACGGGGGGAGCATACAGAGCACCAGCAACATCGCGGCTGCAGGAGGCAGTGTCAGTCCCACCATCGTGGCACAACCGTCACCAGCAGTGCCACCTCCCCTCCTCCTCTTTCCTGCATGCCCCTTGTAGTCAGCAGGCCCTCGGGCCTGCACCCCCACACGCAGAGCTACGGGTCTCCTTCCCCAGCAGGTCACAGCAGTGCCTGCCACGTCTGAGAGCATCTTTACACCCCTCTGTTGGCTGGCCCCTCACGCCACTCCTGTGAGGTGGGTAGTCTCCCACTTCCCAGGTGAGGGACCTGAGGTACGGAGTGGTGAACTGGTCTACTAAGCGGAAAGACAGACAGGCAGGAATGGCTGGGCCTGGAGCTCAGGCGGAACTTTGGGCCTTGTTTCCCTACGGCCTCCCCTTATCACAACTTCCCTCCTTTTAAAATTTGGCCTGTTTTTGTTTACTTCTCTAAGATCTTTCCCTTTAGTTTTACTCCCCCATTAGTTACTGCACCCATTAGATTTGCACACTACTACCTCCCAAGTCCAACTCTGCTTGTCTTTAGCACTTCTCTTATCTCAATTAAGTCCCCACCTATGTACTTTGCTATCATTAATAGATTAATACAGTACACACCTAACTCTTTCAAGTGCTTCCCTGTTTTTCCATTAAGTCTGACCCTCTACAGTAGTGTTACCTGGTTAGAACTGACATGCATCCCTCCATAGCATGGCCTACAGCAACTGAGAAAATGTATGTATGTATTTCCATCTCAATACCTTAACATATGCTCCTTCAAATCAAGGAATCTATCTGTCTGGTGTGGTGCTTACAGAAATTCAGGAAATATATTTATAAATGTTAACACCGTAGAATGCTTCCTCAAAATACAACTACTACCAGTATTTCAAACATACATTACTATGCTGCTGTGATGGAAAATACTGCAGTTGAAATTGTTTTTTTATGATTTAAGTTTTTCGAACTGGAAGGTATGAGAAAAGTCATCTAGTACAAACTTCTCATTCTAGAGATAAAGCAACTGAGGCACAAAAAGGGCCAGTGATTTGCTCAGTGTAACAGACCGTGCCAGCATTAGAACCCAGGAGTTCTAACTCGATTCCAGCGTATTCCACCTCACCAGCTACAGCCTACATCCATTGCCCGTTCACCAGAGGAGCTTGGTGGCCCGTCATCTACTCATGTTTCCAGGGATGTCCCCCCTGAGGCTTTGACCATTTCTCTACCTGTCTGTATTCCCAGCATTTAGGTAAGCAACCAAGCCTGCAAAGTAGTAAAACAAAACCTCTCCCAACATGCCTGTGTATTTTTCCAGCATCTAGATTAGAGGAAGGTTTTTTAAAAGTCCAAGTCTCCTTTTGGTATTTCCTCAAAGTACTAAACCCCTAAGAGCTCTGAGTTAGGTTCATAATGACCAGTAGTGGCTTCTCTTCTAAAGTAAGTTGGAACCAGGGCTCAACGCCATCATAACTCCTCAAGGAAGTGTGCTTTGGAGGGAAAGGGGGATTCTTTGCTGAGGGTTTGTGCTTAAAGAGTTACCTACTGCAGGCCATCTTTCCCTACACCACCCTCAATAGTTCCAAAGTGTTCTCGTCCACCATATGCCATTAATGAGAATTTTTACCTACATCTTGTGAGAAAAAGTGACTTTGGAAAGTTTCCTAGGGCCTGCCTTCTGTGACATACTAGACAGGAAAAAAGGCAAACAGAAAAGAACAACATTAGCTAAAAGCATTTGGGAAACTGATATAATCCGAATTGTTTCCACAATGTCCAAATGGCAAACCAAACTGTAGTTATGCAATTATGCATATAAAGGAACACAAATAATATGGAATGCAGAGAATTTACTTACATGGAATGTTTTATAAGACAGCCAGTTTCTCATTACATCAAAGATTATCAATGTGAACCGTAACGCACACGTGTGGATCCCTGCCAGTTACTGACTTATATCCTTACAGTGATAAGAGACTAAGAGCTAGTAAAACAGAGGGAAAGATGGACTGACTATTGAGTGTGTATGTCACAGACACAGCACTGTAAACTAAGAGACAGAGGTACCAATACGTGTTGTGTCTATACCTAATAAGCTATAGAGGGACTTAAACAAATGAAGACTGTAAACTCCAGGAAGCAGTCAAGTTAAACTAGTCAAGATTCAAGCAATGAGGTCATGATACACAACCCTAATCCTATACTTCGTCAACTACTGTGCCTCACCCTGGCCTTTCCTTGGCCAAGGTCAGATGCGCTAATAACTTACATGAGTATAGTGCTTTTAAACTCGTAAACCTTTTCACATCTGTTAACCATGTGGTCCTCACAACAACCCTGTGAGGTAGGCAGGTTGTCCCCATTCAGCTGAGGAAACTGGTGTAGAGGTGAACTGGATTGTCTTACATCAGTGACAAAGCGAGGGCGAACTAGCTCTCTGGACTCGGCTCCATTTTCCACCAGGCCAACACTCCCATTTCTGAAAGGTCTTTCAACTAGTGGAGATGCTTGGGAGAAGCAGCTAGCACGTAAATTCCTATCACTCTGCATATGAATGGCCCATCCACTTCTTTTTCTGGGGACACAAACAAGGAGCCAGGGCACCAGGAGGCCCGGGCCTCTGCCAGTGCAGGCAACACACCCTTGTGGGATCAGTTCCTAACTTTTGGTATTTGAAATTAACCTCTGAAGCAACTTTTCAAGCCCGAGCTGAAAAGCACCAGTTGCCTCTTCCACTGCTGTGGCCAAGCGTCTGACCGCGACCACGGCATCCCTGCGGAGCTCGTTGGCAATGTCCTGCTGAGCACTGGCCACCTCGCCAATGGCAATCAGCCTGTCCAATTTCTCTTCCTCCCGCTTTGAGAGTTCGCGTGCCAACCTCCTGTTTTCTGCCAATTCGGCTGCGATAGTCCTGGCCACTGACCGCCTTCTGCGCCTTGCCCACCTGGGAGGGGGCTCACTGTTCAAGGGCCTGTTCCCTCCAGAAACAAAAGGAACTCTGGAGGAGACTGGAGGTTGCGGTGCAGAGGCCACCCCAGGAGTGTTTCGGCCGGTGCTGGTGCAGGGACTGGGCTCACCGGACACACCCAGTCTGGTCATGGGGCTGCTCTGACAGGGAGCAACTGCACCTCTGAAAAGGTGGTGGGAGCTGCTGTAGCTGGGGGTCCCTTGAGAGCACCCTGAAAGACAAAGCAACAATGTTGCAGAGAGGACGTTCCTGCTGCTGGAATGCTTGGAGCCGGCAGCTGAGTTGAGACACAGGGACAGAACTATGGTATTCCTGGCCAGGCCTCTTTCTACAGGGGATGGGGGGGAACTCATCTCCTGCATCTGGACATTGTGGTCTGCTGTAATCATACATCTGAAACTTCCCCCCTTGCCTTCTTGAACCCCTTTCCATGTAGCTATCCAGCCCACTTTACAGCCACAAATTCCTAGGTCCCCATTAAAAATAATGCCCAAACTAGTTCAGCTCTAAAGAGTACTTCCAGGTTTAAAGAGTTTTAATACTTTACATACCTAGGACCATAGCTTTTAAAATTCTAGAGCCCTTTACTTTATCTTTAGGTTAAAAAAAAAGAGGGCAGGGAGCAGAAATAGGGACTATGCGACCCTAATCGTTCACACACTTGGGAGTTACCTGCACCCGAGGATTCATCCCAGGAGTCCTCAAGGTCACTGGTTTCTTGCATCTGGTCACTGTTTCTCAGCTGACAATCCTCATCTGATTCCTTAACTGTTTGCAAGGCAGGTGAACGATCTGCTGCCTGAGTCCGTTTTGCTCCCAGAATGCTGGTTCCCTCTTGTCCTGGGGTGTCAGAGGCTGTTAAGTTCTGATCACAGTGTTTGGGCCAAGCAGCCTCCTCCATTAAGTTGTCTGGGTCTGGGTCAGTCACTATCTGATTTCGGAGAAGCTGATCCAACGTATCATAAAACGGACAGTGTGGTGGATCACCCAGACTTGTGGCATGGGCCACATAGGCCTTTAAATATAATGCCTTCAGGACTTTAAACTTGGAGCGGCACTGACGCTCGGTGCGACGGAAGCCTTCCTGCTGCATCCGCTTAGACACAGCCTGATAGACGTCTGCATTGTGATGCACAGTCTGGAGGCGCTGAATGTACTCAGCCTCGCCTAGTATGGAGAGAAGCGTTCGGGTCTCCTGTCTGGACCACCGGATGCCCGCACTGCTTCCGGAAGTGGCCATAGCGGACTGGGAGAAGGCTAGCTGGAGGAGGCTCCTGGGCAGCAAGGTGCCGATCTGAAGGTGGGGGAACTCTGTGTGCTCCGGTCTATCTCCAGGAGCCAGCCGATTCTTCCCTCTCAGGGCTAATTGCTGAGAAGCCAGGTCCAAGGACCGCATTTCCGGCTGGAAGGCCACAGGGGAATGAAAGTTACAGGGAGGGTGGATAACTGTGGCAGCAAGTTAAGTGGTGCTACCTGTAAGCAGGCTGCAGAGGCAGGATGCCAGTGCTGAGACAGCCCAGCTTTGGGAGTTCGCCCAGGATGGGTACCGGACCAAGCGGTAAAAAGGGCCTTACTGGCTTGGTAACAAGGGGACTGGCTCCTCCACAAAGGGCGGAATGCTTCCAAGGCTGAGACCTGGTACAACTGTGTATCTGTATCTGTCTTGTACATAGACAGGCCAGGGTAGGGGGAATGCCTGGACCACGAGGAAGCTCACTTTGGAGAAGTGCAAGGACTAGGGTGTAGCAATACATGTCTGAAGGGGCTCTTTCCTTACTAACCTTGGTCTAAGTGGCATGCTGTGGCTCTGTATTACCTTTCTGTCACCAATGCACTCCTTTGTTAAAAGGTAACTTTCAGGGCCAGAGAAGTGAGCTGAAGTTGTTCTCGCTAATACAAAGCTATCTGCACAACATGGCAGAAGACACCCACATCATTACTTCGACCATCTGCCCCAAAGACAAACAGGGCTACCAGGGGATGAATCTATGGAACTGTTCTGTCTTAACTGCATCACGATCAGTATCCTGGCTGTGATACTGTAGGATAGTTTTGCAAGATGTTAGCATTGGACAAAGTGGTAAATCCAGTAATACATCTGATCTCCCTGTATTATTTCTTACAACAGTATGTAAATCTACCATTATCTTAAAAAATTTTAAAAAAATTGTTGGCTGCTTACAGTGAATCTAGCTTCAAGACCCATCTACAACTCCCTGTTTTTCAGCTTATAATTTGAACATTTTTGACACCAATTCAATTTATTTTCAATATGCTCAGGACTAAGTTTTGTCAACAGATAAATGGTTATGGGAATATATGTATCATCACAAAAATTTGAATTTTCTCCAAATATAGTAGTTTTTGGCTTAATGAATAGATAACCTAAGGCAAAAAATAAATATCAAGTTCAGTTTAACTAAACACAGGTAAAGGATAATAAAAATATATCTGTATGTATAAAAGAAATAAACATTAAATTTAATTCATAATCCCCCAACTCCTAAAATATGAACACAAGGAACTTTCTACTTAAATTCTCAACTGAACAAAGTATAAAGGGAAGAGCCTAGGGCCAAGGGTTAGACATCCTAAACTGTAGTTCTATCTAATTACCCCCTAACTTAGGAATACCTTCATTTCTATGTGCCTTGGTTTTCTCATTTAGAAATGGGGAGGGATAAAATCTGCCCTATCTTACAGGGATTTAAGAGGATTAAATAAAATAATAGATGTGAAAGCACTTTGAAAATTTAAAAACACTATACCAAGTATTACAACTCCAGTGAAAATGAAGACCCCTAATTATCACGGTAATCTATAATTTGAGGAGACAGAAGTCCGGGGAAGCAAGCCTCTTTAATCTTTTAATTAAAGTTACAACAGATGATTAACCTGATTCTTAAGACATCAATTAAGCTATTTCTCTAATGATTAAATGTGTAAGCCAACTGGAAAAGTTAGTTCCCAGAAAGCGTCACAAAAGAATCTTAAGAAAATCAATAGCTTCTACATAAATATTCACCAATTATAACAGGTTTCACAAAATTCAACTACAGTGCAAAGAAATCTTCAGATTCTCACACAATCTTTCAAGCTCTCTCAGTCAAAAAAGTACTATAAAAATGTGAAAAGTCCAAACTACCACCTCTGAATGACACAGATGGTCAAAACTAATGCATGTTGGTAGCTATCAATACTAACAGACCTATAAGAAAGAAACAAATGTCGAATCTTATCCTTGAGAAGACTCACCACAATTATCAAAAGGAACAGCCTCCTGGGGTATTGTTGAAATGACTCGGTCACAAAAAACAATGAATAAACAAATTGGTGTTTCTAGTTTCATTTCACATTATGCTTACAATGTATAAATGCACTTTTATTACCATACATAAAAGCATTATTTTATTCCATACCTTCTGCCAAGGATCTGCTTTACTTTCATTACTGTATTTGAAATATTTCTTATTCTACTTTGTTTTGCTGCCAATCCAACAACCTGAAAAAGAGCAATGTATTATAACGCATGTAATTTTCACCTTATTTCAAAGTGCAAAAATGAGGAGAATGGTACCTCTTCATTTTCTGAGTAAGCAACCACAGCTGGAGTAACTCTGTCTCCTGCATCATTTGCAACCACATCAGCCCGGCCATCCTGGAGAAAAATAGGCAACCGTATTAGTTCTTTTGAAATGAAATATACAGCCTCATTTGCTATATTCAGACATACATGGACCAGTGTTAATTTGCTATATACAATGAGAGAAAAACTGCTTTCTCAACATTTTAAACTTGTAGATTTAATTGCCGTTATTGATTTCCTAGATTTTAGTAACACCAGCATTCCAAAACTGCCTTTTTTTTTCAGTCTGCTCCGCAGAGCCAGTAACAGAACAGACATAATATACATACAATAATAACGTCTTATTACATCACCCTTCCTGTTTCTCTTTCTTCTACAAATGCATCTTTCTTCTCTTTTCCCACATATGATGAAGGAGCACCAATCCCTTTTTCTTTTCCTTACAAATCACTTGACATTTAAACATG